AGTTCACGCCGAGCTTGCTGACATCCTGACAGAGGTGAGTGCCCAGCTCTCCCCTTCCCTCTCTGTGTGAAGAGCTCCAGGTTTTAAAGTGCTGGGATTGCCACCGTTTCACCCCCATTCTGTTCCAGGCTGTCGTAGATTCTGTTCTGACAGTCAGAAAACCAGGCGAGCCCATCGACCTCTACATGGTGGAAATCATGGAGATGAAGCACAAATCAGAGACTGACACAACGTGAGTCGGGAGTGTCCTTGAGCTTCCCTGAGGTTTGAGTGGTCTGTAGGAGTCTTGGTTTCTTTTTAAGAGAATTTGGGCTACCACTGGAAAAATTACTAGGGAAGGGCTGAAAGAAAGGCAGAAATAGAGATTTCAGCCATAGATATCTCAGCAGGAGAAGTTTGTCAGTCACTGAACTTCATTCCCTGATGAATTTTTTGAACAGCAAAGAGCAACACTGGCTTAAGCTTTTACACAACATGAAGACTTTTCTCCCTTAGTAATCGTGTCTGTGGCTTGGTTATTCTTTAGGTTTGTATCTGTTAAATACAAAATAGCATCTGATAAATGGCAGCTGGATTGTGGTAATCTGGGTGGGTATTCCATAGACTTTGTATTACCTCAGTGGCATGGCTGAATTCTGCACTAGCTTTCCTCAGTAGCTAATGCAGTCAGACACCATGCCAGAGCAAATTCCTTTTTCACTCTTCTGGGTGTGCTTTTCATATGGGAGTGGGCATGCCCTTGGAAGGGGAACACATAATCCTTGTTTACTCCCAACACAACTTCGTGTTGGACCAGTTCCTCAATTCTGAACTAGCCTGCACTTCCATGGAATTCATATCTTCCTGTGCATCCACTGACACACAAAATGGTTTTCAATCTTCCAGGCTGATCAGGGGGCTGGTTCTGGATCATGGTGCTCGCCATCCTGACATGAGGAAAAGGGTGGAAGATGCTTATATTCTTACCTGCAATGTGTCCCTGGAGTATGAGAAAACGTAAGTACACAGCAGCGAGGTGAGGAGCAGAAAGTGCTTGTGTCTGAAAGACTCTTTATTAACTTGTGCTGAAATCCCAACCAAAAGGACTGCACAGGTGTGGAAGGTGAAAGGAAAGAGGTGATGCCCCTTCTGCAGCCCTTTGGGAAAAGGGAAGCGGGTGGTTGAAATAATATCTGTGAGAGGCTGAGCATTGTAGTGGTTTCTATTTTGTTGTTTCATTCCTTTCTTGGGCATAATTTGATACTCTACAGCAAACATATAAATACAGTTCAGAGCTCTTAGTTTCAAGTGTCTGCCTTATTGTAGGGGAAAAGCTCTGAACTAAAGAGCAGGAGGAGCAGCTTGAGTTGAGGGGGGGGTCTTGTTTGTTTTGATTTGATTTCTTGAGAATTTTGCTGAAAAGATCAGCTCTCATGCTTGTTTCTACAGCAGAGAGGATAGTTTCCTTACTGCTTTGGTGGTTTGTTTTTTCTCCTTCAGAGAGGTGAGCTCTGGATTCTTCTATAAAAGTGCCGAAGAGAGGGAGAAGTTGGTGAAAGCAGAGAGAAAATTCATTGAAGACAGAGTGAACAAGATCATAGACTTGAAAAGAAAAGTCTGTGGCGATTCAGATAAAGGATTCGTTTTGATCAACCAGAAGGTGAGATGAAGGGTGTAACTAAACTTTGATTTCTTGGCCACCATGTGCTGTTTGACTCACTTGGTACAGAAATAGCTGAACTTAGGCTGGTACTTCTGAATTTGTGTGTAAGGTTCCTACTTGAGATACTCTGTGAGCCCTGAGGAAGAAATTACTCATTAGTGTCAGACTGAGAGAGGTGTTTTTAGCTTTGTCTTTATCCTCATGGTCACTTCCTTCGTTTCCAGGGAATTGATCCATTTTCCCTGGATGCACTCGCAAAAGAGGGAATCGTTGCTTTGCGGAGAGCGAAAAGGAGGAACATGGAAAGGTCAGTTCCTGGGGAGAGGAGAGGGTAAAATAACCAACCTGCTCTTCCAGACTGGGACAGTGAGTCAAGCCTGCCTTAAATCCGCCTTCAAGAACTCGGACTAAAAAGTCCCCTTCAATCTATGCAGCTCCTCCTGGTGTAACTCAGGGTAGTTCATACACACTGTAGAAAGGCCAGTTCAGCACACTGAGGGATGGGGGAGTTTGAGCTCTCAGTATGCTTCAGATGTAAAAGAGACTTAATTCTACAAACTTACTCTTCTGAGGAGCTCTCTGATGAACAGAGGCAAACTGTTCCAGGCCTAGGACTTGTGTTATGCTGAGCTGTGTGTGTTCTCTGCCAGGCTGACCCTGGCGTGTGGTGGCACTGCCATGAACTCTGTGGAGGATCTCACTCCTGACTGTCTGGGACACGCAGGGCTTGTCTATGAGTACACGCTGGTGAGTACAACCAAGAGCTCTGCTGGGGAGTTCAATTAAAGGCTGGTGGCATTTCACAACCCTGTGTGAAACGTCTGCATGGGTATAGGCTCTTTTCATACTGTATTTTCTTGGTGTTGTCTGTAAAATTGAAAAAAAAAGGAGAAAAAAAAGATCCTGCTGGTTCTCATCCCTTCTCGAAGTGCTGTTAGTGCAGAACTGAACCTGAACACATCCAGCTTTTTTTTTATTCAGTGTGTAAACTGATGAAGCAAGTGCCTGACAGGGATACACGACCCTGTTCCTTGCAGGGTGAAGAGAAATACACGTTCATTGAGAAGTGTGAGAACCCACGCTCGGTGACGCTGCTGATCAGGGGCCCCAACAAGCACACGCTGACCCAGATCAAGGACGCCGTGAGGGACGGGCTGCGGGCCGTGAAGAACGCGATTGAGGACGGTGAGTCTGCTCTGCTGGGGATGTGAGGGATCTCCTGTGGAATCTCACTGCAGAATTAGGGAATTCTGTATCAGATTCCCTGTACTACTGCAGTCAGAGCCCAAGCCACATGTATTTTAGTTACAGCTCTGCCACCTTATAGTTTACAGTAGGTGTGTAATTACTCGACTGCTCAGGTACAAGTTGTCTTTTTAAGAGTGAAGGAAGAGATCAAACTGCACTGAAAATGAACTGTTTGAGTTGGAGTAGGTGCTTGCTTTGGTGTGACTGTTGAGTTTTCCCTTGCAGGGTGTGTGGTTCCAGGAGCAGGGGCACTGGAGGTGGCAGTAGCTAATGCTCTTGTTAAGCACAAACCCAGCGTGAAAGGAAGAGCCCAGCTTGGAGTTCAGGCTTTTGCTGATGCTCTGCTCATCATTCCTAAGGTAAAGGAGTTCCTGAATAAAGTGACATTAAAGCACGTGCAGACCCATTGCTTTTCCGGCTGGAGGGCTCTTTAGTTAACAACATGAAGTGATGTCTCTCTTCTGTCCAAGGTTCTCGCTCAGAACTCCGGGTACGATCCCCAGGAGACCTTAGTGAAGGTTCAGACGGAGCACGTGGAGTCAGGGCAGCTCACTGGGGTGGATCTGAACACTGGTAAGGACTTCCTGAACAATGGGGTGATGCCCTAGTAAAGAACCTGTCCTGGTTCAGCTCTGAAGAACAAAGTTGCTCTGAATACAGAAAGCTTTACCTTTTTCCATAAAAAGATACACAAAAGCCCTGGCAGGTGTCCTGCTGCTGCAGTTGGGTGTGTTGTAGCAGTGCATTCTGGTTTAAGGGTTTTTAGTGAAGACAGAGCACGTGGTAACACTGTGTGGGATGTACTGAGTGATATCAGATGTCAGGCAACAGAAAGTCTCCCTTTTAAGTTGTGTGAACTGGTTGTTTAAAGACTGTTTCACTTCTGTTGTAGGGGAGCCAATGGTGGCTGCAGCAGCTGGAATCTGGGATAATTACAATGTCAAAAAGCAGCTGCTCCATTCATGGTAAGCATTCATTCATTCCTCACAGTATTTCCACTTTAAACACCAGTGGCTGTTCGATCGTTTAAATGATAAAGTGGAACTGGGATATCCCAGGAAACGCAAAAGTAAACCTGAGTCTTCTTGAACTATGTCAACAGGGCAGTTCTAATAGTATTTGTTTACTGTTTCTAGCACGGTGATTGCCAGCAACATTCTGCTGGTGGATGAAATCATGCGAGCTGGGATGTCCTCTCTGAAAGGCTGAGGTGGATCTGCTGGTGGGACGGTGGCAGCTCTGGATGTGCCCCGTGGAATCTCTCCAGGGAATCCCCCTGATGGCCATGTCCTTGGCCCTGGTGGATTTCCCAGCAATGGAAGTCACTCTGCCCTAAGGGGCAGCCCCTTTGGAAAAACATGGCCTCTCAAAATATTATCAATTTAATCAAAGATTTGGCTCTAAAAATGAGTTATTTATTTTTGATTTCACTGAAGTGTACGGCTGAGGTTGCTTTCGTTTTTACCCAATAAACTGTTCTGTTCTGTGATTTATGTGCATTGGTTCTTTAAAACTCCTCCTGAACATTCTGCTTCCAGCCTTCCCTGGAATTTGTTCAGTAAACAAAAGAGCTGGATTAAGACAATCACTTGATAGTTTTGTACTTGCTTATGAATCAAACTGAGTTCACTTGACTGCAGAATGGGTTGAAGTGGGCAGAAGGAAGGACCTGTGCAAGGTTGTCACCCTTGTCACAACAGAGGGGTGAGTTTTTAACACTGATACTGGTGCATTAAAGTGTTTATGGATGAGAGCTGGAGCAGGTCTAGGCAGAGCTGCAGCTTTAGATCGGGACTGTGGGAGGGGAACTCGCTCCTCCCCTCCTAAATGATTTTCCCTAATCCCAGTGCTGCTTTGTGTTAACAGACAATGGTCTCCTTCCTCATTCACGTGGCTGCTGAATGACCATAAAAGGAACCTTAAAAATCCGAAACCCACCAAAAAAACCCTCCTCAAACACCAAAAAAAGCCCCCCTGCGTGCCTGGGTGGTGGGAGGGTTTGCGGGTGGCCCCGGTGCCAGAAGGCGAAACACCTTTCAATCTCTGCGTTGCGGAGAGGAGGAAATGCCCCTTTTCTCACACAACGGACCATCCACGTGGGGCAGGGCCCGGAAGCGCTTCCCGAGCCCGCAGCACCTCCGGGTCGGATCCCCCGGGATGGCCGGGGCGGTGGAGCCGCTCCTGCTCCTTCTCCTGCTCCTGCTGCGCTGCGGGGCTCAGCGCGGTGAGAGCCGAGACCCCCGCGCATCCCCCGCACAGCCCACCCTGCCCTCCCCCGAGCTCCCTGCCGATCCTTCCCCGCGAGGGGAGCCACTCCCTGCCCCAGAATCACTGAAAATGGGGCTTAAAATGTTTTAAACCTCGTCACCGACCCCCCCTCCCCAGACCTGTAGAAGCGCCGATCGCAGTCGCTGCTGCAGCGCATCCCCCTCCATCCCTGCGGGATGTCCCGGCAGGAGCTGCGCTGTCCTGCTCGGTCGCGTCTGGAAATTGAACTACTCGTGCTGAATCTCTCCCCCTTTCAGCTCCTGGGAAGGATGAAGGCATGGTGCAGCTGCCCGGAGGGACATTCCAGATGGGATCCAGCTCCCCGGAGAGGAGGGGCGAGGAGGGGCCCGTCAGGGAGGTGACGGTGAAGCCGTTCGCTGTCGACAAACACCCCGTCACGAACAGGGATTTCAGGTGAGAGCCAAGACTCTGCCGGGCGAGCCCTCGGTGCCTCGGGTGGCCGAGGGGAGGGTGCTGCTCTGGGTGTGGGTGTGGGTTTGGCGCTGGTTCCTGGGGTCTTAAAAGCCAACGCTTGGGTGTTCCCAAAAAATGTGTCTGTCGGTAATAAATCACACTACGAGTGCAAGCCAAAGCATCTTACCGGTGTAGCTTGCAAACATCCTTCCTTTTATTTATCCTTTCCTCCTCTTTCCCCTTGTTTCTTCCTCTTCCTTCTCATCCTCCTCTCCCTTTTCCTCTTCTCTTTATCCTCTTCTTTTTCCTCTCCTGTTCTTCCTGTTCTCCATTTTCTCCATTTTCTCCTTTTTCCTCTCCTCTTCTTCCTTTACTTCTTCTTCTTCTTTTCATTTTCTTCCTTTTCTCCTCCTCCTCTTCTTTCCCCCCTTCTCTTCCTTTTCTCTTCTTCTTCCTTTTGTCCTCCTGCTCCTCTACTTCTCCCCTGCTACTCCCCTTCCAAACACATGTATTTTTCGTGTGTGTCTCTCTTTTTTACTAATAGGGCTGTTCTACTTCAGATTTCAGATTCCTGTAGGTTCAATTCCCATTTGTAAACACCAGACCACTCTATGAATTTTATCAGAGCCCTTGTACAGAACACTGATAAATGCACTGGGGGAAATGCCTTTGCTTGCCTGGCTGAGCCCTTGTTGGTTAAAAACACTTCCTTGCACCAGAAACTGCCCAGTAATGGCAATTATTGCAACAAGTGGAGTAGAACAGGCTATTATTCAGTATTATGTGACTTTTTTTTTTTTTGCTTTTTAGGGGCATTTACAACAGCAGCTGCAGGTTTTACTGGCTTTTAAGGGATTTGGGATCTCTGCAATTGTTACATATTATGGAAGACCTGAGTGCCTGCAAAGTTATGTTCTTATGTTACCTGCACAAGTAACATAAGAACAATCAGATCTGTGAACAGGTGCACATTGGATAGTTTTATCTGTTAAATCTATATGGTTTTATCTGTTAAATCTAAATCTAAACCATATAGAACTGTGCTGGGGAGGAGCCAGGACTCTCTGGAGTTGGGGTGTCTGTAGGTCATGTACCTTTTGCCTTGCTCTGAACTTGCTGCGTGCACAAATTGCTGTATTTGGTGGTGCAGCACTTGAAGATCTCTTACCCAGAAGCCTGAGCATGTTGTGTTTATGCCAGGGAGTTTGTTAGAGAAAAGAAATACAAAACAGAAGCAGAAGCGTTCGGCTGGAGCTTTGTCTTTGAGGATTTCGTGTCCGAAGAGCTGAAAAAAAAAGTCACCCAAAAACTGGAGGTAAATCTAAACCCCCCCGGGGATGAGTTTCAGTGATGATGGGTTTACTTTTCCACTGAGGAAAAGTGCAGGGCCTGGCTGTTCTCAGGGGTTTTTCTTTAGTCTGGGGTTGTTTTGGTTTTGAACCTGACAGGGTTTTGAACCCTGGGATGGGCTGGGGTTGTTTCCTGATGCTCCTCTGTTCACATCCTCTGCGAACGCTGTCAGAGCTGCTCCAGGGAGCTGTGACAGAGCAAAGCAGGTTTCAAAGTGCTTCAGTGAAAAACTAAACCAGCACAAGCCTCTTGATCTATTTGCACTTCTAAAAGCAGATGCCTCTGCTCTGTGGGGAAGCACCATCCCAGTGCCTGTGATAACCCAGCTCAAACTGTGGCCTTGACCCACTTCCAGACTAACATACGCTGCTGTGGGACGGCGTCAGGGGGTGTCACCACTTCAGGTGTCACCAGTTTACCTTTAACCTGGGGTTGTTTTTCTCTCCCCAGTCGGCCCCATGGTGGCTGCCCATCGAAAAGGCTTTTTGGAGACAGGTGAGTGAAAAAAAACCTGCTGTGGTGAATCCTGTCCGTGCTGGGAGCTCGTGTGGGTGTCAGCGTGAGCCGAACCTTACCGACCGAAAATGGGGGGAAAAAAATAGCAGCTCTGCTGCACTTTCCATCCCTTCGCCTCCTCCACCCCCTGGTCCCTTTTTTAAGTGAGAATTTGATACAGTCATTTCAAATCTCCTTGCTGTGATTCCTCCCAGCCCTCAGGCCCTGGCTCCAGCATAAAGGACAGGCTGGATTACCCGGTGCTGCACGTGAGCTGGAACGATGCTCGGGCCTTCTGTGCCTGGAGAGGGAAGAGGCTCCCAACAGAGGAAGAGTGGGAATTCGCTGCCAGGGGAGGACTGGAGCGTATGTACCACAAGCTCTGACCTCTTCCCAAACCAAAGCATAGAGTAGTGTTAGTTCCATCAGATCCAAACCTCCATCCTGGGATGTTTTCACTGGTTAATTGGTGGGGGGAGAAAAGGGGCGGAAAGGAGATAAACCACCTTTTTTGGCCTGGGAGTCTAATAATAATAAGTAAAATAATTAAGATGTTGCTGATTCCCATTTCTCAGTGTCTGTAGGGATGAGACCCACAAGCCCTGTTCATATAATTATAAAACCAATCATAAAAGCCTGGTTAAAAACTGGAGTGACACAGGAGTAATGGGTGTCTTTTCCTCCTTGGCAGAAAGGCGGTATCCCTGGGGAAATAAGTTCCAGCCAAACCGTACAAATCTGTGGCAGGTGAGATCCTAAAAATCATCCCATCTATGCTGAGCTCTCCTGAGGGTGGGTGGTGGTTAACTTGACCACTGCACTGGCTGCTGGTGCTGGGAAGCACTGGGGACTTACCTGCAGAGTACTGAAACTCAGCTCCTGGTGGGTTATCCAAAATACCTTTAGAGAGAGCAGGGTCACCCCAGCTTCCCTGGGAAACCAGGATTTCAGCGCTTCTTAAAATTCATACAGAAATTTGTTTGTGAAGGGGGTTGTCTTGGGAGAACTTCAGGTGATTGATCTCTCTTGGCCAGAAATGCTGTGTAAATTTGCAACAGAGAGTTATTTGCCTGATTCAGGTGTGACATAGCCCCGTGAAAAGCAGGATTTTATGTTGTTTCTGTGGTGGTTCTTTGCTTGGAGTGATGTCTCTTCCCCCAGGGTGATTTCCCGCGGGAGGACACGGCTGAGGACGGTTATCACGGCGTCTCACCGGTGACAGCCTTCCCCCCTCAGAACAGCTATGGTACATCCTCCTCCTGCTCTGGGGCATCTGCTTCCTAAATTAGCACTTGTTATAAAATCCTGTCGCCGTGGCAGAGTTTCAGATGTGATGTGGGCTCACAACAGCATCTTGACGGAATAGCTGAGCCCAGAAAAGCGTTGCTGGTTGGTGCTGAAGTTGACTCCAGTGCACCAAACCCTCCCCTGCTTTTAATCAAAACTTGGTTATTTTGCAACTCGGTGTGATGTACCTGAAAATCCCCAGCACACTGGAGGGCAGTGGATGCCGTGCCCTCACACAGGTGGGAAATGATGAGACACATTAAAGGCCCAGTTGTAAACTGGGGACAGTTTGGAACACAGTGAAGAGCTTCTGGTTCCCAGTCTCACCGTTAAACCACGCTCTTGCAGTGATGCTTGGAATGTTGTGCCCCCTCTCACACGCCACAGTGCTTTTGCAGCCCTCACAAATGTGCTCTCCTAATCCTGACACAAAACCATCCGTGTCTCAGGGCTCTACGACCTGCTGGGAAACACCTGGGAGTGGACGGCCTCGGAGTTCCTGGCTCCGGGAAGGCCAACCAGGCAGGGGGCTCAGCACATGCAGGTCCTGAGAGGGGCCTCGTGGATCGACACTGCAGATGGGTCTGCAAACCACAGAGCTCGTGTTACCACCAGGTAGGTCCGGGCAAGGCCCAGGTGCTGCTTCGCAGGGATTTCCTCTGGCTTGGTTTTATTTGGAAGGGGGGTTTGTTTTAAAAGATAATTGTTCCTACTCTTTTTTTTTTGGGAAGCAGTTGGGAGAACACACTACAAATACTGCTAAAACTTTCCTGCTATAAATCCATCCCTAAGTGCTTCTCAAACCATGTGCATTTTCCATCGGGTATTTGGAATTAAATGCATTTCTTGAGGGTATTCAAGGGAAATGGAAGATGTTTCTAGTCTGTTACAGCAGGTCACATTAAATGATCTGAGTGTTAACTAGGGAGGGTTAATTTTGGGTTTCTTTTTCACTGTGAGAATGGGGAACACACCAGACTCGGCCTCCGACAACCTCAGCTTCCGCTGCGCTGCCGACATCCCGCCCGTCACAGCCCGGAAAAGCCGGACCAAACCCGAGCTCTAAGGGGTCACTTGGGAAGACCTGAGGCATTTTCTCCTGTGGAGATGATCAGTAACCCCCCAGCTGTCACTTCCCATTAAACCCTGATGGTTTTTAAAAATGAAAAATAAATACTTTCAGCTGTAACTCCTTTGGGCACTGGGATGTCTGGGTGGGAGCAGCGACTGGGGAAGGCAGGCAGGGGGGGTTTGTCTTAAGTATCCATTTGGTGTGGTAGATATTCCAGCTCTCCTTTTGGTGTCCTTTTTAAATAAGCAGAGGGGCGTGTATGTGTGTGGGACCAGGCCAGAGCTTCTCTGACCCCCAGCCCCTGTGGGGTGTGTGGGGCTGCCAGGAGGGTCATGCTCTGGTGCTGGGCTTTGCCAAGGGCTGAGCCTTCCCTGCTGGGGAAGGTTATGCCTCTATTAAAAGGTGGCTTCTCCAAACCCATTCTTACAGTGGGACAAACCCCAGGGGAAAACAACAGCTGGGTCTGCATTTGCACCTGACCCGAGGCCAGCGAAAGGGAAGGAAAGAAAAACAGAAATCCCCCCCCATTTTGTTTTCAAAGATTTTACTCGCCTATCGCGAGCCAAATCACCGGCTTCCACAGAGAGATCAGAACAGCCCTTCCTCGGTCGCCAGGGTCAGCAGGATGGCCTTGCAGGTGTTCTCGAAGAGGGCAGCCCTGTTCTGGGCCTCCCCCTTCTTCACCCAGTGCCGGTAGGTCCTGAAGGCACAGGCGTCGATGAGCTTCCGGACGGGCTTCAGGGCGTAGGGGTCGCGCACCACCAGCTCCCTGGTGACCGACTTCGCCAGCCGGTACTGGTAGTAAATTCGCACCGACGCCAGGACGGTCAGGCAGATCACCTGCAGCACAGGGGGACGGGCTGCAATCCCTGGGCGCTCCCACAGCACGGCCAGGCCAGCCCCAGCGTGTCCCATGCGGCCGCTATCCGTGTGCAGGAGTAGGGAGAGAGCCCGGCTCCTGGCACTGGTGTCTGTGTGGGGCTGGAGGAGGCCATGGATCCATGCCAGGGAATCACGGAATGGTTTGGGTTGGAAGGGACCTTAAAGCTCATCTTGTCCTAGGCCCCTGCCCTGGGCAGGGACACCTTCCACCAGACCAGGTTGCTCCACACCCTGACCTTGAACACTTCCAGGGATGGAGCATCCACAACTTCTCTGGGCAACCTGTGCCAGGGCCTCCCCACCCTCACAGGGAAGATATTTCTTCCTTATATCTAATCTAACCCTGCTGTCTGTCAGTGTGGAGCTATTCCCCCCTTGTCACATCACTCCATCCCTTGCCCAAGTCCCTCTCCAGCTCTCTTGGAGCCCCTTTAGGCACTACAAGGGGCTCTAAGGTCTCCCTGGAGCCTTCTCTTCACCAGGCTAAACAACCCCAGCTCTTATATAATGTTTTTTTGGAGGGTGAGAGGCAAGTTTTTCCCTTCTCTTATTTAGCCCCCATCCTGTGATAAAGCCCTTAGGAATTACCAGTATACACTAAAGTGCTCGGAGAGGGCTCTCCACCCAGACTGTCGCATCCTCCCAAAGCCCAGCTCCATCAGCCTCGCTGAACTCCCAGTTTCTCCGGGCTCAGCTGGGAAGCCCAATCCTCCTGCTGTGCTCCTGCAGCTCCCAGGCTCCTCCTCACCTTGAATTTCCGGAAGGGGCTGAAGTGCCGGACCTCCTCCACATCGTACTGCTGGAAGAAGGGGTGTGCCAGTGCCTCTCCAGCCGTGTACCGCTGCCGGGGGTCCACCACCAGGAACCGGGAGATCTGCAGGGGGGGCGCCCAGATGTACCACAGGGGTCTGCAACACCACTCCTGATTTTTCCCACCCCAGGCACCTACCAGGTCCTTGACGGTGTCGGAGCGGTCGTCCCACTCCGGGGAGCTGAACTGGTAGTCCCCGTTCATGATCATCCGCAGCATCAGCATCTGCTTGCGGTGCCAGAAGGGAGGGGAGCCGGCCAGCAAGGTGTACATGATCACCCCGGTGCTCCACCTGTGGGCAGCCCAAATTGAGCCTCCAGCCCCGCCGTGTGGCACCTCAGGGGTGGCTACACTTGCTTTTGCCTCCCTGGAGAACCAGGAGGAAACTGCCCTGGGTGGTGTCGGTGAGGGAGGCTGAGCTGCTGCTGAGGCTTGTTAATTTTTTAGGGGAAGGAAAAGATGTGGGAGGGTGGGATGCAATAGTGCTCTGAGATGTTCAGCTTAGGCTGTGGTGTGCAAAGTGTCCTGTCATAGCAGTTAACAGTGATATTTAAACTGGACAGGGACTGAAATGCCCTGGTGTGTTTTGAGTGTTTAGTTACAGCTCTGATCACTGAGGGCCTGAGCCTGAAGCCACCAGAGATGGTGGCAAAGTTCCTGTGGGGCTCTGACAGGCTGTCCTGAGCTGGCTGCTCTCCCAGGGGCTGCCTCGGGTTCATGTGTGTTTAAACAAGGTGTGTGATGTGTCTTGTAGCTCAGCTGAGTTGATTCTTATGAACAGCAAGTGTTGCTTTGCTTCCTCCCTGATGGGGCAAAGGCTGCTTCTCCCCCTGCTCTGTGCCTGAGCCCCCTGGTCACCAGGACGAGCCCCTTGCAGCTGCCAGTGTTGGGTTTTGGTGCATCATTTAGCTCTTTCCAAACATTCCAGTGGATTCCTATTGGCACAACTCTGGCTGCGCCTCAAACCACGTGTGTTTTGGGAACAGCTCAAGGGGGCAACGTCTCACTCACATATCAACCTCCTTCCCGTAGCCTTGGTGCTCGTCATCCATGGAGCACTGCAGGATCTCGGGGGCCAGGTATCCAGGTGTGCCACAGATCTCTGAGGAGACAGGGCAGAGCATCATCCCCCTGAGCCACCCAGGGGGTTTGTGCCACCCCCACCCACCCACCCCCAAGTGATCCATGAGGGGGAACTGCATCCCAGGTGGGATCTCTGCGGTGGGATGGTGCTCCCAGGAGGAGTAACTGCCACTCAGTGGTGGCTTTTCTTGGTGAGTTACAGTGGCTAAAAAGCAGGTGACCAGAGGGATGGGGATGCTGCTGGGAGGGAATGCCTGCTGTTGGATATGTGGCTCTTTGCAGGTAGGAGCTGGGGGAAAAAAACAATAATGTTGGGCAGTAAATGGACAGGATCAACTCATGATGGAGGAAAAAAGACGTGGAAAGAATAGGATGGTTTCCCTAAGGGGCAGCAACTTTTTCATGGCAAGGAGAGCAGTGTGGAGGCCAAGGGCAGGCAGAACTCATGTATGAGCAGGAGAGCACCCCAAGGCCAGCACCAATTTGCACCCATGGCAGAGAGACTGGCCCAAGGGGACAGTGGGGCTGGAAAAACTCCACTGACTCCCATGGGCACTTCAACAACATTCCAGCATCACCCTCGCCTCGGCACCCTCCTACCTTTGAGCTTCTCATTCTCGTTCAGCTGGCAGGAGAAGCCAAAATCTGTCAGCTTAATGTTCATGTCATCATCCAGGAGGATGTTCTCCGGCTTCAGGTCCCGGTGGACGATGTTGATGGAGTGGAGGTACTGGATCACTTCCAGCAGCGCTCGCATGATCTTCCTGGGGATGGATGGCAACACATGTCCTGTCCTGAATGCACCACGCTCCCAGGGATGGGGATGGGGACAGGAGCACAGGAGCACAGCCTGGGGTGCTGTTCTGTCCATGCTGTGCTGGCTGCAAGGTTGTCCCTCAAAACCACGCTGTGCTTTTGCAATGGGATTTTCAGCCATCTGTATCTGGCCTTACCTGGTTTCTTTCTCGCTCAAGGTGACTTTCTCAGTGAGGTAGTCAAAGAGCTCCCCTCTTTTCATCCTGCACGAGGTGGGGAAGCAGAGTCAGGCAGCTGTAATGGCAAACCAGGGTGGTGGCACCCAGGGGTTGCTGCCCCTTAACAACCCAGGGCACCCACTGCACAAAATAACCACCTGACTTAGTAAAAAGGGGTAAAAATGCCTTTATATAATTCTGTAAAACATCAGGTGGCAGGAGAAAAGGCTGTGCCTGGAGAGGGCAGGTTTGGACAGAATCACAGAATTGTTAAGGTTGGAAAAGACCTTTAAGATCATCAAGTCCAACCATCAAAGATGGGACAGGGACAGGGCTCTCACAGTGCCATCCCCCTGCACTGACATCCATCCCACTGCCCTGGCATCGGGAGCTGTGGCATCACAGACACTCTGGTCCCACTGAGCATATAAATAACCCACAGGGATGTATAACAGGCTCCCACCAAATGTTACAGGGAAACCTGAGCTGCTGACAGAGGTGAAACAGTGCTGGCAGCAAGGTTGCAATGAGCTGGCTCAGTTCTACCTAAAGCAAGAGCTGGTTGTCTGACCGTAAAAAGCTGGGGCCAATCTGCAGAGAGGGAAGGGGCCTGGGGTGCTGGGCAAGCTGGTACTTACAGGTCAAACACCAAGAAGAAGAAAGTGCTGGATTCATAGCTGTCCTTCAGCTGGACTGCAATAAAACACAGGGACTGTGAGCACAGTGTATAACGTGTTCCTGTCTGTTAACAGGCTAAAACTGCTGATTTAATTGCTATCTGAATTAATGAGGAGTTGATCTGCACTAGTGTTTTGGCTGGGAGACAACATGGGCACTGCTGGTGTGTGTGTGGAGGCAGAGCAAACAAAGCCCTGAGCAGGTGCCCTGCGTCACGTTAGGACCATCAGAGCGTGACCCTCCAGAGATCTCATCCCAAAACCCCTCCTGGGGGGGACACGCTGGAGAATTCAACAGGGCAGAAAACCCCCTTGCCCCAACTTACTGACGTTGGGGTGGCCCGAGACTTTGCGGAGGATGTCGATCTCCTTCGCGGTGGCCTCGCGCAGCTCCTGCACCTCCTTGGGGGAAATGTTCCCCGCCGTGATGTCGATGATCTTCACGGCATATTCCTGACGGGTGGTTTTGTGGATGCACCGACGGACGACGCTGCTCACCCCCCTGCCAGGGACGACACGGACAGGGTGGGGGTTCCACTCCTTCCCACCCCAACCCGATCCCACAGCCCTGCCATCGGCACCTGGGCCGGCCGGTATTTTCGTGCACGAGCGGGTCTCGCTCTGTTGCCCTGTCTCGGTGGGACAGGAGGTTTTTTGAGCTGATGGAAAGTGCTGTTCCATGCTATT